GCGGATTACTATGCGTAATTCAATTCAAAAATCCGCAATATTGCAGATTTGAAAAAACAATTGTAGTACCATCCTTACTCGCTAGGATATCGAGCAAAATCAGAGCATATTTTTTCCTTCATTTCATTATCTACTGAGAGGTTTTTATCTTTTGTAATTTTTATAGCGCATTTTATGAATCTTCTCCATAATATCTCGATAGGATTACTTTTCATGAAAATCTCATAGTTAAGCCATTCACCATGGATTATTTTGTATAAACTGCCTATCTTTTGATATAACATTTCTTGCACTTTTTTAATTGCATTTCTGTAAGTACGCTTATAAACAATCCCACAGAATCCTATCATCTTAGAAGTAACACCATTAACTATTATATTCTTCTTCACAAATCCCTCAAGCCATAATTTGACTTTCTTTTGTGCATAATCATATATTTGTTATATTTCTCATTCAGATCCTTGATTTGCATTATCTTATTTGAGAGAGTCGAATTGTACTTCTTATCATACATAATAAATCAGGCATAGAGGCCAATAATAGTTTTTCTGAAATAATGATATAAATCTAGCTCCTTACCCAATTTCTTCACCACATCAACGAATTCCATTCTTTCGCCTTTTATTAGTGTTAATTTTTTACCATATAAATCGAAAGTCATGTCAGGATGGGTTATTACATAACTAAAATGCTCACCTAGCGTCAGAATTTTACTCTCATATTCTCCCCTCATTCATCCTATAAATCGCTGAACAGTGTTAACCCTATGTTCAACCGTCGAACTTAGGGTAATGATGACTTAATAACAGGGAGTAATATGTGTAATTAATCTAAGATTACTATGAAATAAGTCCTATCACGATCAATCTTTAAGTTTATTACTTGGTAAATGTTGTAATACGAGTTTTAACTTTGTAACTTTATAACTTTATAACAAAGATAAACACTTTTAGACATGTTGAAGGGTTTGTGTAAATTATTGTGTAGAAAGAGATTCCTTTTATTGTATATTTGTGCTCAGAGACCCTTAACTCTTGGATTCTAAGACTTGAACTCGCAATCTTGAGTTGTTCTTCTATAAGAGCAACTTTCTATCCTATTTATACAAAATTACAATTATAAGAAAACTATAACTAATGCTAATTTATAAATAATAGTTAATAAAGATAAAATACATAATAAAGATAAAGTTAATAAATAAGATAATAAATATAAATAAGTTAAAGAAGTTGATTATGTTAAAAATGTGTAAATGTTGTCAAAGTTAATTACGCTAATTAATGTAGATCTTTATGGTGTAGTAATTTTTACGAGGTCTGGTATCAATGCCAAGAATATAAGTTTCCATTCAAAAGATCATGTATTATCTCTGATCGAGTCTGAGAAGAAGGCTCTCTCCCCCATAGATACTAAACGTTGGATATTATCAGATAGGATAACCGGCTTGCCTTATGAGCATTAGACTATTATAGTATATAAAAATATGGTCAAAGATGGTATCCCCCATGAAGTAGCTGAAAAAAGAGCTATAAGGGCTAAACTCCCAGAGAAATATCAAAACAAATGTACGTCTCACATAGCCAGCTCACTTCAATAAGCTATTAGTGAAAGAAGAGACATAGTGACAAAATGCTCAAGAGTATTATTATATATTTTTTTTCTTGTATAATAAATATTTGGTTACAGAATACTTCTCTATAATGGAAAGCAAACA